TATATATACATATTATGTATATAGATGACTGTACCGTTGACGGGACCTGGCATCATCTGATATATCGATGACGGACCTCCCACATTTTATTCAAGTCTTTTTTTATCTAAACTAGCAAGCCCAATACATGACAGAAGTAACCCATCAGTAAATGTCGACATTGGACAGCTACCTTTAGCAGGGGTTTATGGTCATATTTATAGCAGAAGATGCGACTACAAGTGAAGATGTACGAATAATAGTCCCCTATAATGGATATACAACACGGATTATGGTGGACATTGGTGTATGTTTGCAAATGTATGACCGTTTCAATCTACCCACCGACGTTTTTATTTACCCGATGTCCCGATGCCATTAAAATAAGAAAATCTCAAGAAGAAATACAAACTCGAAACGAAATTTCCGTAAATGATGAATCAGGATCGGGATTGAAAACCATTGCGTTACTATTGCGAAACTAGTATTATAAAACTGTGTAATATATTATGTATTGGATCAAGTCTAGTTTTAGTTCACACACTCATGCATAGAGCGTCAGATAGGTGAGTAAACTATACGTACATGGCCGGGTACCAGTCTAATTATTTACAACAATGACGCAAGTGTCGGTAATTGATATCAGGCATATTTACGTGCGATAACAAATCTTTATCGGGAAGTTAACTAACCTGATGTTTTAAAGTTGCAACTTTCGAAACCAATCGATCGTTCAGTGATCTATCAATAATAGTTATCGATGCATTACTTTACCATCGATGCATTACTATCGAGCCAAACACTATTGGAATTGATTGACAGTTCAGTGCATCGTTACACTCCTATAAATGAATTGAGAGAGTTCAGCGTACAAGCGCCTCCACTCTACGGGGAAATCCGACAAGTACTTAGAGGAATCACTGCAGGTTGTTAGCTGCACATTTGCACAGTCTCCTGAGCACCACGAGTACGATCGTGCTAAAAGCAGCTGCCTCTCCCTCTACTACACACCAGATGCTATTCTCAGAAGGCAGAGCGACGCGACGCGACGCGCAGACAATGCATTTCGCAGAAGCCATATCAACAGAGACACGTGAAGCCCTCGCGCGTGCTTCGTCTGTTGCATGATGCACTCTATACCGTACATATTCCCGCTGATATACAAGTAGAATAGTGCCGGTATAGGTCGACGTGTCAAAATCAATATCGCAGTCGAAAGCAAACGCCGTCAACACGCGAGCGAGCGCACAGGGCAGAGCGCAGCCACCAGCCAGTCAGCCAGCCAGCCGTCGAGTAAATAACAAAGATTTGACACTCACTCTACGCGTGAAACGCAACCGCAATGACCGGGTACGCTCGTTATCATCATCATCATCATCATCATCATCATCATCATCATCATCGTCGTCATCATCATCATCATCATGATCGTCGTCATCATCATCATCATCATCGTCGTCATCATCATTGTCATCATCATCATCATCATCATCATCATCATCTATCTACCGCTGCTACACGCTGCTATTATAGCCCATGCGCCACGACATCTCCATCTAGTCGAACTTTGACAGACAAATTTAGTCGCCTTTTTATCGACGGATATAGTTACGTCTAAATGCCGCCTGTTGCATAATCACGTTTAATCACGCCGTTTAATTAACCCGCAATAAATATTCACATTGTTTTCGCTTCGCATCTCTAGTAATCATCGATGTATGCATCACTAGTAACGTCGGCGAATCGGCATTTCGCTAGGCGTATACACGCTCGCTCACTGAGCGCCTCAGAGCGAGGTTCGTGCAGAGCTCCACAAACGCCAAGACTAAACAAGACTTAACACAAGGAGAAAAACCTTTTCGCGAAAGCCGTCCACGCCCAGCCGCAGCGCACGCATGCAAACAGCGCATGCAGAAAGCAGCTTAGACTAGTGACTGCATTCTCTTTTGCGGTCTATGTGCGAGCAAAGCGGGGCAGCAATAGTTTTCCTACTTCTTGTTTGCCGTTCCATTAGCTTTCTGATCTGTATAATCCATACGGATATTTCCCATCGTAAAGCACAGCTCTCACTGGGTTTATTCGATTCTACACTGCGGTTAATACTCTCATAACACTCGCAGACTGAAGTGCTGTCTGGCTGGCTATATGGCCATACGTGCTATATATTATGTGCTATATGCTATAGGATATGTGCTCTAGGCTATGTGCTATATACTATGTGCTATATACTATGTGCTATATGCTATATAGGCTATGCTATATGCTATGTGATATATGCCATGTGCTATACGCTATATATAGGCTATGTGCTATAGGCTATGTGCTATATGCTATGTCCTATATGCTATAGGATATGTGCTATATGCTACAGGATATGCGCTATAGGCTATGTGCTATATCCCTCCCATGTACTATACGCCATAGGCTGTGTGCTATATGCTATATTCTATGTGCTATATGGTGTAGGGTGTATGTTATACGGAGCCATCTGGGTGGCCGCACGTGTGTTCGTGTGTTCGTGTGTTCGTGTGTGTGTGCGTGTGTGTGCGTGCACGCGCGCACGCGGTTTCTCCGTGAATGTCTGTCTGCATGTTCGCCTGTGTCTCTGCGTGACGCTATCCAGCCAGTCTATCCCACCTACCCATCGTAAATTCCGATTTAATTTGAAAGTGATTGCGAGGCAAACGCGAAAATCTGCCACGAAGCGCGTCGAAATGTTGAGCTTATGTAAATGTTTGTAAATTCGCTGTAAATGTTAAGTTCTGAATTATTAATCGCCGTTGAGCGTGTTGACACCCGTAGCGTGTGCTCACTCTAGCATACGAGACGCGATGCGTAGCGTTTTTTTCTAACAACGAGTCCATCTCACTTTTTACGATAACGGAAAACCTGTTATATTGCCACGCTTTTATTCTTACTGCCGCTACAACCCACGTACTACTATTATAGTTCGACTCTACAGCTAACAGACTGTAAGCAGTGGTCAGGTGGTTATATTACAGTTTGCATATAGCCAGACAGAGCGGAGAATATGTGAATACTGATAGATACGATGCAAATATTTTTAACAAGTGTTGCGTTTAGGTGCGCACTTCCTCTTAGACGCCCTCGTTCATTTGGATTTCAGAAAAACTATAATAACATGGTACATGTTGATAATAAGAATGTGTTCTTACGTAATGCAAATGAGGTCTCTATCATAGCTTACTGTACATTCGATGTACACTCGTGAAGCGTTGAGCGTGGCTGAATAACTGCTGCAGACCTTGAAGATTTCGCCGGCTTGATTATTTTCCGTTAACCGGTAAAACCAATATAATGCTCGAAAACGAATTTATCCCACGAGATCACGAGCTTCATGTGGCACCCATCTATAATATAACCTTTATTCCTTTATTGAATCATTTAGATTTGCTACGAAATTATTTCATAAAACGGATCTGCCTCCGTCTTGTGGGCGACCCCCCGTGAGTCGGGTTACGAGAAAATTTCACCTAATTATGTCATCTAATATCTATCTACTAAATTTGTCTTGGACCTAGGGGAAGGAATGTTTTCACTGATTATTCCAGATATATTTAATGAGACAATGAAAAACTCCGCCTAACTCGGTTTTTGTTGAGATATCCCACAAAGCTGATTGAATCAATTAATATGAGCAAGAAGCATGCTGATGTATACTCAAAATGTACCTGTACTAACTTAATATAGGAAATCTACTCGGATCGATTATATACCTCGGCATACTCTGTTATTTTCCCTTGCACCTTTGATTTTCATACTTACGGTGTAGATTTTGCACGTGTACATTTCTCTCTGAATAGTTCTGCCATATCAATGCAATATAGCAGGCTAATTTCATGCCGACACGGCTGTCATGTTTATCTTCTAATACAGTTAATCAGAAAATAGTGTTTACATTATATCAAGAGCTCATAATAGAGAAGAGTATGACACCGTTTTAACAGCGTTTCGCATGGTTTTCAACTTGTAAATATTCTATCAATATGTGAATAAATATATTCAAACTTTACCTTGTTTTCGTCTATGATTCTCCCTTAATCATAATGACACCACCAATTTACCTGAAAATCGTATGTGTTCTTCAAAAAAATTCTTTGAATACCACACGGTTTCACACAGTTTTCCCAAATGTTCGCATGTATTCGGCGCATGTTGATATGCGGCGGCAGCACCAGGTTGTAACTACGGGTGGGCTATAGCTAGCTGTTGAGGATATTAGGTATAAGCACAGTAACAGCACTTGTTTCGCTTCCAATTATCATCAAGAACACGATGGCAACACGGCTAACATCAGCTGCTAGCTCGCCGTGAGCACACATTTATTTCTAGCACGCTGGAAATGCTACACGCTGAATATAAAATTCGATGCCTATATAATATCCCCAACAGCCCCCAGCGTTCCGTCATAGACAATAGAACACTAATCCGATAATAAACTTGCGCCGAATACATGCGAACATTTGGGAAAACTGTGTAAAACCGTGTCGTATTCAAATAACTTTTTTGAAGAACATGCGATTTTCAGGTAAATTGGTGGTGTCTTATGATTAAGAGAGAATCATAGACGAAAACAAGGTAAAGTTTGAATATATTTATTCACATATTGATAGAATATTTACAAGTTGAAAACTATGCAAAACGCTGTTAAAACGGTGTCATACTCTTCTCTATTATAAGCTCTTGATTATATCTAAGTATGAGTACGTCCGTGCATGTACACTCGAGAACTCACCCGAGCGTACGCACATGAGTACGCCCCTGTACACGCGTACACGCACTCGATCTCCACATGCGGGTTAACAAGTGTGCACACATAGCTCTCACTGTTCTCTGCCATGAGAAACTGTAATATCCACTATTTTATACGTTTTCTGTCGTTCGTGTAATAGTGAGGGCGTGTGGCGGAAATAATTTGATAGCGCACTTATTCATGTACGCAGACCACGCGATATGCAAAATTTCAGCATGACATGAAAGAGAAAACTGTCCGAACGATTGCAAATTACGCCCAAACTATGAACTCAGTCCTGTCACTGTGCAGACACGCAGTATTAAACCTGACATTTTTCTCGCCAGAGAAATGACTGCTTTGAATGCACGCCCTCTTCAGCTGACGTGTCAGCGGTGCGCTTGGATAGATCGAGTACACACACGTGTCGCGGACATTCCACGTTTTTCAAGATAAATCAAAGAGCATGATTTATTATAAAGTCAATTGTCATACCTTAAATCACTAGTAATCATGGATTATTTTAATTCACTATTATTCAGCCAATATTAGTTTTTATTGACTATTAACCTATTACAAACTACAAAAAAGATTTTAGTTAATACAGTATTTCTTAATGATATTAATTAATGAATTAATTTATGTCTGGCATTGCTGCCCTCTAGGAAAGATTTCACACTAACAGCAACACACATCTCCAAAGCCACCGTAGACTTGCAGCTTACGCAAAAACAGTCGCTGCTATTTCTTCGTTTATACATTCGTTTTTTGTAAACTCAGCATGTTCAAAACATCAAAGACTGGGCCGTGCGTATACCATGAGGATCTTGATAGGGAGTGTCTACATCCAGCAGATGGCTGCTGCTCATTGTATATTATCATTATATATATATTATTTATATTATAAATCCATTTATGATAATCGCATAGAACAAGATTGCAAAACTGTGAGCGCGCCATACGATGCACTTTTTGTTCACTTGCCTTTCTATCAATTAAAGGATTACGTTTTAGTTTTGCTCGACTGGTTATAGTTACAAGTTTTTCAGTCTGAACAAGCAAGGTTTCTTCCTCATTACCAGTGTTTGGAATTTTATACTGTATGTGAAGCATCCACCTACTACCACCACTGGCAGCAAGATCAAGCCCGCACGTACAGCACACACGCGCGCCATTGACTATATATATACAACTATATATGTATATAGTTGTATATATAGTCAATGGCGCGCGTGTGTGCTGTACGTGCGGGCTTGATCTTGCTGCCAGTGACTACCACCGGGAACTTACGAAGCATCATCTTCATCAAACATGTACATGCACCCACGACTGCTTTCTAGACGGGCTGAGAGAACGTTATCGTTTACGAAACCGCTTCTGTCCCTTCAGTGAAAACCTGTTGAGAAAGTATCAGAGCACTCACCATTTCCATGATCAGATGCCCGCAGACTGTACACTTCTCCGCGGTCTGCTGGAAGCCCGAATACTGGAAAACACAAGCAGCAGCAAATATTAATAGCAATTACGGCACGATGGGATGGAGGTAGAGACAGGGCACATTACACATAGGGAGAGAGAGAGAGAGAGAGAGGGGGGGGGGCAGGGTACAGCCGTCGCAGGCGGAGAGAGAGGGGGGCAGGGTACAGCCGTCGCAGGCTGTAATACGCTGCATGTGCAACCCTGCTGAAATGCAATTAATGCGAGCAGCACGTGTCGAAATTGAATTGAATTGGTTTGTAGCGCGAAAATTTTACGAAATTTAGATTTTGCGTAATTCGCGAGCCTAAACTAATAACCACGAGTATAGATATATATAAAATTCTAATTTAGTTTATTCTTATGTCATGGTGGGGAATTTTTAATTACAGGAAAGATCTGCTTGCTATTCTGATATGCGAGCCGTCCCCTCCCCCGCCGTCGCCTCCCCCGCCGACAGCCAGACGTGCTGCTGACACCGTGTCGAGTTCTTTACACTGATTACGTGCGAGACCGCTCGATGGGAGCGATCCGCTGTCTCCCCTGCGCCGACAAATTGCCTTCTACTGACGATGGCGCACGGCGATGAGAAAACACCTCTCGGAGGATGAGCGGGCTGGTGGCGACTCGAGGCAACACTCGGCAACATGCAGCAACACGCGACAACATGGCTGACACACATAACAACAAATGTCATCACGGTGGACACCACACACGGCAACACGTCGGACACACATGGCAACATGGCGGACGCATGGCAACAAAACGGACACGCATGGCAACACGTGGCAACATGTCGGACACATGGCAACATAACGGACGTGCGCATGGCAACACACGGCAACACGTTGCAACATGGCCGTGCCACACGGCGCTCATCGCCTCCATCACCGATCCACGCGGACGAATTACGGATTTACGTGATTTTTTTTCGGGATTTTTCATTGACCTTTTTCACGAATTCTTTTTTACCTTACGGACCGGCGTGTATGTTGCGCCACAGTGCGCTGCATGGCGAGATTAGCCGGGGAAGATGCGGCTCGAAGACGTACGCATTGTCTCTCGACTGTGAGAAATCGATAGCTAGCAGGCGATGGATGGATTATTAGCACGGCTCGTCATCAGACAGACGCGACGTTCAAGGGGACGACCAACACAATGAATCCTCACGTGAAACGCTCATCTAGCAAACCACGACTAACCGCAAACAGCGCGTAGATGAAGTCGGTCGCACAGAAGGTTTCGCGCTGGTCGTTGGAGACAAATATCGCTTTCGGATTGCAAACGGCGATATGACAGCGAGTAGACTAGGAAGCAGTGACTAGACGCCGGCCCCGTCCGCGCACGGAAGATTTTATCATGCACTCCTCCCTCCCTCACTGATAGGCGTGTATCTTCTATCGCAGCCGACGTGCACGACTGTACGACGTGTACGTACACGTTTACGTCTGTACATACACGTCTTACGTACACGTGTACGTGCACGTTTGTACGCGGACCTCTGCGACGCGTCTATACCTTACTACGGCGACTCTAACCCAGCAGCGTACACGTGGCTGTATACTCCAGCCTGTCAGCACTGCGCCCCTCCCCCTTTCGTGACAATTTGACACGTTTCATTCCCTCAAGATTATGGTAGTGCGAGAGAGGCTAACAGAGCGCGACATCTAAAATCCTCGCGCGAGCTCCGCTTTCCGCGCGAGAGAGCGCCGAGCCTAGCTGGAGAGACGCACGGGATGAGGAACGCTATATGTATATATATCAGAAGTAGATAATAGGGACGGAGTGTGACTTCTATAAACAAGGGAAATTGTCATTTACTAGCCTTAGAATACCTACGATTTACTACGGCGTAATTCAACCAACTGAGCTCAATCGTACCACAGTACATTCGCCTAGCATCGTGGAAATCGTTTCCTCGTATAACACCCGCAAACCGGCAGATATTGACTAAAAGTACGACACGGATTATCCATTCTGTTGCCAGCAAAACGAATGTATAAACCGACTAACTTGAAACAAAAGGCAGCTAGTAAATCGTAGGCATTCTAAAGCTAGTAAATGACGAATTGCCCTTGTTTATTGAAGTCACACTCCTTCCCTATTATCTACTTCTGATATATATATATATATATATTATCAGGAGTAGATAATAGAAGATCTATTTATCTATGATCTATTATCTATTATTATCTATTATTTAAGATCTATTATCTATGATCTATTAAGAAGTCTTCTATTATCCACTCCTGATATTATATATATATACGTGGCGTATGCGCGCCGTTGAGCTCCCAGTAGAGCAACGGCACCGCGATGCGTAGCGTTTTTTTCTAACAACCGAGTCCATCTCACTTTTTACGATAACGGAAAACCTGTTATATTGCCCACGCTTTTATCCTTACTGCCGCTACAACACCCATGTACTACTTATTATAGTTCGCTCTACAGGCTAACGACTCGTAACCAGTCGCCGCCGCTCAGGTGGTTATGTTTAGCAGGTTTGCATATAGCCAGACAGAGCGAAGAATATGTGAATACTGATAATAACGATGCAAATATTTTAAAATCTGCTCTCACAACG